TGAAGACAAATAGGCAAGTTATTAAAAAATAAGATGTTCATCTGAGTGTAAAACAACAAATGAGAAGCAAAATTTCAAGTAAGAAGAAGCTTAGAATAAAGGCTTTCTATGCATTGCAATGTATACATACATGTGAAATTGTATTTTATTTAATATAGTTGTTTTTCAAACAGCAGAGAGAGAAAGAGGAAGTTTGGTCCTGCTCTGCATCCATGAAGCTTTATTTTTTAAACTTCTCTGGGATTTAGGATCATAGTTGAGGTATTATTTGAGCTTTGAGGGTGTGAATCAGCTGCTCACAGTTGTTTAAAAAAAAAAAAAAAACACACCTTGTTGCTATGGTTACACATCATAAACGTCTGGGATTTAAAAAGGTAAGAGCGTAAATCCCTCCTGCGGGGCAGCATCCAAAACTAGAGGGAATAGTTGTCCGGCACAATCAAGCAAACGATTAAACAAAATCTGCAACCAGAACAAATAAGAACAAAAGTTAATAACGCCACTCCAACATGCTACCGCCATGAGCGACACAATTCCAGAAGAATTCATCAGTAAAAAGCAGAACATTAATGATGAACGTATGTAAATTTCTGACTGGCGCTGCAAATGTTTTGTAGCTTTCAGAGATTAATTGTCCAGAGACAGACGGACAGGCTGAAACTAAAAGCCATGAGTCTAATCTCAGACTCTCAGACTTGGGCTGCCGTGCCAAGGAGGGGGTAGAAGGAAAAAAAAAAGAAAAAAACTGGGATAGAAGGGATAAATAAGCAGGACAGATGGCCTATTTAGACCAGATGTACTGCACTGCTTAGTCAAATGACAGAACAAGGCCTGCGTATGAGTGAGGAACCAGGGAAGATGGAGTTGTCCAGTTTGCAGGTGGTTAATAGAGTAGAGGAGTCAAGCTGGAGGCAGCGGCCCCAATAGCAATCCTATATCTCAGTTAAAGTACAAACTGCACACAAACACACTACATTAAGCAGCGAAACACTTCTGACTGCTACACAATGTTCTCAGGGCCTTTATAAGAAGGAACGTGCTGTAGGGCGTCTATGTTTCTTTTTGCACTCTGATTCATCCACAAACATTGGCTTTGTCGAGCCTCTCAGGGTCAGGAAGCTCTCCAGCCCGTGAACACGGACCGATATAGGAAAACCCGAACAGAAATGTGCGCAGGAGCCTGAATAGAGGCTTGTAGACTAGGAGCACAACGAGGACAGGATTTCGGAACATAATGGGGAAGTGACAATAAGACCAGAATGGATCAGTTTAGTATATTAATGGGAAGCGCGTTTGAGCGGCCATTTTGCTTTTATCCATCTGAAACATGCATAATTTATCCGTCCATCATTTGTCCGTCAACCTCTTCCTCCATTTCACCAACTACTGCTCTACTTTCACCCATGACTGTTCCTGCATCCATCCATCCACCTGCTTATCCGTTTTGCATCCATACATTTTTCCATCTATCCATATCCACACCCACAGAACTCTGGATTTAGAACAAAGAAAGCAGATAAAACAGTCACGAACAGATAGTCTGTAGAACATGTACAAAAAAGAAAATCCTTGGAAAAAAAGAGGTTTAGTTGTAAGTGAACCTGAAATTACTTCCCTTTTAAAAAAAAAAAAGGAAAAAGAAAAAGGGCTCTCTTTATAGTTTTAATCCTCGCTCTCAAGCCTCATTTTTTATTACAAGATTCATTCTCCAGAGAGTGGCAGTTTCAATATTATTGATCCAAGCACTTCTTCATTCCTACCCTTGCGTCTGAGGGGGGAAGAAAAGGGGAGGCAGAGCAAAAGAAACAGCTGGGAGGAAGGGAGAATATGTTGGGATCTGAAAGAAGAGTGAATTACCTTCAAAAGGTGTCGGCTTTGGAGGCTGTCAGAAGAAAATGTTGAGTCTCTGCAACTATCTGATTATGTGCAAAGCGGTGTGTGCTGGCAGTGAGTGTACAGGAAGACTAATGCAAACCTCAACCACCAGGTTTTTTGACGATTTTTTTAACCACCAAAGAACTAAGGAATTAAATAACACACCAGATCTCACAGTTTCTACCGGCAGCATTTAATTTTAGCTTGTATTAAAGTCTCTAATATGGATTCCCTAGAAACGTACATGAGAAATGTGTGGTCTACATCACAGTTTGGTTTTATATGAACTAGATGACCCTCAGGTTTTCCATCCATCAAGGCTGTCGAGTCACATTGTGAAATCTGAGCCTCCATCAATCTTTCGATTTTTAACATTACCTGAAGGTAGGGAACGCACGGGTCCAAGGAAAACTTTCAAACATCTCCAAAAGCTTCAAGCGAAGCAATTGTCCAGTCATTTATTCTCACCTTTTCATTGTCTGTGTGGATTCGTCTATTTTTCAATCCATCCATCTTTTATCTGAAGTCTTGTTGTAGAGCTAAAATGTGAAAAAAGGGAAATCAAGAGATCCTCTTCTGCTCATCAGATATACCACATAGTTTCCTTCCCAGTGAGATGAATCTGGAAAACCTCCAAAGGGAGTCATCCAGGATGCATCCTGTTGAGGTCTCAGAGCCACAGCATTGTCACTGTGTTCATTACCCTGTTTCTATGGTTGATACAGAAAAACCGGCAGAGCAACAGCTTTTTTAGCCATTCGTCTTGGGAATCGTGTGTTTTTGGTAATCAGTCAAATCCTGCAACCTCAGATGTTGGAGCAGAATGTTGATGCACCCATTAATCATTAGCTTGTCTTTTCATTCAGCTCATTTGTCCACCACATAAGTCTCGAACAAAATCTGAGAATCTCTGACTCTATATGGCCAGTACTAGGCAACCGAACCTAAGGAACAAAGGAAGACCACAGGGACAAGGGTATGTTGCCCAGAACAGAAAAAAAGGGACATGATCTTGGAGAAAGTGTTTTGACCCGGTGACATCCAAAGGGTGCAGGATCATAGATATCAGGGTTGGATGCAGGCTGATCTAGGCGACGGTGTGCACCTTTCAGAAATCAAAGTGGCTCTGTGGCATGATCTCATCTCCTTTGTGAATACTGTAGACTCAAAACATTTGAAAAAGTTGACCAACAAAAGTTTCCACTGAGCTTTAGCCAAAGGTGAACATCCAGGAGACTGCTGCTGAGATAGAGGACTCTCGTAAGTACCTGGGTGTTCACCTGACCGATAAGCTGGAGTCATCACACAAAGCAGCGTTACTGAAGATCCTTCCTCTCAGCGCCTGCTAAGACTCTGTGATAATCTCCGCGCTCCACAAATTCAGCGAGTGTTTACATAACTGCTGTTATTTGCACAGCTCTTTTGCTTGCTCTAAATCCTAGTCACATTTCGCTTGTGCTCATTATACTCAAGAACTGAGCGGTTAAAAAGATCTTTTGTTCATAGGGCATTTTGGACAATTTACTGCTCTCTGATACCAGATGTGTAGCATGTTATTTTCATATGTCTTTTAGCTTAATTGTTTTTATTTTTTGCATTTCTTTTTCATTTGAGGTTGGTGCTACAAGATAAGTGGATTTCCCTTTTTGGGATAAATAAAGTTTCTATCAATGCGAATACCATTTCTTAAATAACAGCACGGTATTTTGTTTCTTAATCTATTCTAGAAGGCATTTTCATTCATTCATAAACTGATTTCCTCATAACTTCACATAGTATCCTATTACTAACAATTCTCCAATAGTTCATCAAACCTGAGCTGCTTTAAATCTTAGTGAGTCTGTTCAGAGATGTCATATTTGTATAAGTGATTACATTAAATACCACTTGTACTATTCCACAGGCGAGGAAAGAGTGACACGAATAAGGCTGTAATAATCTATTTCTCCACTTGGTGGTGCTGGTACTCTGCAGCCAGGAGGCCCCTCACAGAGGGTGGGGGGGCCAACATGGTCCCAGTCATTGTGGTGCAGCCGCAGTGCGATTCCCCTGAAGAAATAAATAAAATGGAACATAAATCAGAACATCGTCTGCTTTAAAACCCAAATAGATGCTTCTATTAATGTATATTTAACATATTATGCTCTGAAAGATGTTCTACATGAGATTATTAGGGGTTTATCTTCTTGTTTGTTGCGTATGACGAAGATTAAGAATAGATTGTCATTCTTTAATAAACTAAAGGTTGAAGTCATCTGTAAACAAAGGTAAAATCTTAGGTAAAGTCTCAATAGATGGATGAAAATGAAGATCTGTTGGGCTGTTTGTGTAGTGGGGGACATTTAGCTGCAGGGTAATTGTAATTCAATAAAGCACTGCTCTGAGCGACCTTCAACCGGCAACAAGAGGAGTCCCCACAGGTTCAGCATGCCCAAATTCATGAGGCAACGGTAAAGGTGAAGGAAATGATGCCGCAGGTCACAGTTACCAGATCTCAAGCAAACTGATCCCCGGAGGGAGAAACTCAACCAAATCCGTGAAGAACCAACGTCAAGGTGCAGTAAAGGTGTTGCTCATCGTCCCCTTACGCACCAGCGAGACACTCTCAGCTGTTTTTATTTCCCTCTTAAGTTTCCCATTCTTCTGTAAGCGTCTGTCAAGAGTAAATAACTCGTCTTGAAGGGCTGGCTTTGAAATGCAGCCCAACCCACCAAAGAGAAAGTGAAATGCTTCTTCTTTGGAGCTCAAGACACTGGAGATGGAAGTGAAAAGAAAGAGACGTTTTAACAACAGACATGCAAAGAGCTTCTGCCTCGTGCGCGTGAGCTTGATTGTCATCATCCATTAATCTAATTGGACTTTCCTCTAGTGGAGTATGAAAGGCCCTTTCTGCTTCAGTTATGCATATATTTGTGGTTCAGAGCAGATTTCTGACAAGTAAAAAGGAAAAAAAAATAATTCAGTTGTGCATAAATTCTAGTCGGTCGTCAATGTCGTCACTGTTGTTTTTACAAGTTCGCTGCGTCGATCAGTAAATTTTTACCATGAACGCCGAGCTGATTTTGATCTCAGAGTCAGATCTAGTGGAATACAAAGGTTGACATGCTGTTTAATTCAGGTTTAAAAATGGAAATCATAAGATTGAACGAAACACAAAAGTTCCTTCACTGTTGTCACTGGGAAGTTCGGATACCAAGACGATCCAACAAAGGTAATGTTGATTCTTACAGTAATCAGCAGCTGCACCTTGTTTCCGATGTCAGATGGACTTTTTGGAGACATTGGTAGTTTGGATTTTCCCACTCCGGTGACCTTTATTGACAATTACCAGACAGGAAATGGGCAGAGAAAGAAGAGGGAAAACATGCAGAAAATATATCAAAATAAGGAATTGAAGCCAGGATGGCAGCGTCGAGTATACTGCCCTACTAAATGGGGCGACCATCCTATCTCTACACCATGCGACACCCTGCTTGGTGACAATTAAACCAAGTCCAAATGGGTAAAGAAAGTAAAGCGGTGACAAGAGGCAAGAGGGCGTTGGTGCTAGCTTTAGCTACACTCAACCTGGAAAATTGAAGTTTGTGTCATTAAAAAGGAAAAAATGTTGCATTAACAGGTGAAACGACTAGAGTCAAGCAGAAGGAGCAATAAAAGTGAGCTACTTGTTTACAGCATCTTTGACTACAGCTGTAATACATTTCCCATTAAAGAAACAACCTGAGGGAGGCAAATACTGTTTGCTAATGTGGTATCTGCTGTAGTGCTAGCGTTAAAGGCAAATGTGTTTACCATGGAGTAGAGATGGATGTGCAGGTTTTACAAGGGCGATGGCTTGAAGACGTCAAGATTTTGTGAGGCTCTAAGCCGAAGCTGTTGTTGGATTTTGTTTGCTGCCTTCCGAGTGGTTTTGATATTCATTACCTTGCTTTGTTGATCTAACATTTGTTTGCATATGATTTCATAGGAATCCAACAGTTGTGTCAAGGGAAAAAAACGATGAGTAAATGCTGCTTTGGTTCAAATCTTTTGGTTAGACATTAGTGGTCGGAATGATGCTGATTTATCTCAGCTGCAAAACAACCTAAACCTTAAAAAAAACCCTGTTTATTTTCCAAACGGATAATGAACTAAATGTGTCCTCGAATGTGAAAGTATTTTCTCATCTTTGTTGAATAGAGTCCTCTTTATTTTAAAGAGCATCACCTTTTAACACCAGTTTTGTTTAAGAGTGAAAGTCATGGCTTTAGTAAACATTCAGCATATCAGCCATTTATTCTGCACTGCTCTAAAAACTCCATCATCCTGCATAATGAAAGTTTGCGGAGAAATTATTTCTCACCAGATCTCACCAATATATCTTTTACACCATCTGTTTAGTGTGTACAGCAACGTGAATAGGTCATCTTGTAGTAGCGTTTTAAATTTTGACTGCAAGTTTTAATTTGCTGTAAATGCGTTACATTATAAATACTATGCTCAGTTTGTGGAATCCAGTTAAAGCCAAGGTGATCAAAACAACAAGAACTCTGCTTTATTAAATCATAAGGGTGATTGTCATTTTGTCCTGAGCCATTTGTGCCCACCCTACTGCTACTTTTATGCCTCTGAGGCGAAGGCAGTAGGGCGACACGGAGGAAAGAAAGTGAATCAAAGGAAAGACAATAAAAACTGACTTCCACCAAACAAACAAATTGCTTGATGTATAACAGTGACATTTCCCTTGTCACAGAGAGGCGTGTCAGAAAAGCAACAAACCATAGAAAGTGACAGTCAGGCCCCCACTGTTATAATAAATAGCTGCAAATCATGCTGATGAGCGTGAGAGAGCAGGCAAATAGTGGGTCGATACAGGGAGCGAGAAATTTGTCTGAATAAAACAAATCAATCAAATATTCATAAACATTTTGTCATGCACAAATAAGAATTAAGTAAAAAAAAAATCTAAAAATATAGAATTACTGCCATGCAGTTGTGTTGCACTGCCAGCAAGTAAAACTGCAGCCTACCTATTAGTTGGTGCAAAATAGAAAAAAAAACAAAACACAACAACAGAGAGGTTGGTCTTTGACCTTTTGGATTTAAAACATCAACTGTGAACCTACTATTTGCTAAAATGTGTGACCTGTGACCGCTAAAATGCCAAATCTGTATTCGTGAGTCCAAATTCAGTTAATACCAATAATCAGGAGCTGCCTGTACTCCCTCAGGCAGCTCCTGAGATGAATAAGGAGTAGAATGGATGGTGAAAACAATAACACCCTGTTATAAGAAGGGAAATAATGAGGTTTAAACTTATGAAAAAAAAAAAAAAAACAATTTAACTCAACAAAATGCTTTGGGGATCTGAATTGGCATTGTGTGGAGTTGCAGCAACTTTCTCGTCTTGAACAGTGGACAGTGGGATGCAAGTTTGGAGAATCAAATAAAAACTACGTTGGGAGACTGCATGCACACCATGAACGTATGGTTACTAACCACCATTCCAGCATCCATCCTTTGACATTTTATTTATTTTCTTTTGACTTGACTTCAAGCAGTGGTTAGCTAACTGGTGCTCAGTCATGCTAACAGCTGCTAAGATTCACGTAACTATTACATTGATACTATCACCCAGTCAAAGTCAAGTTAACACCTGCTCAGAGTCAAATCAACAACTATCCAGAGTCGAGCTAAGAGCTAACTAAGAGTCAAACTAATCCAGAGTCAGGCTAACAGTCAAATTAAATCAAGCTAACAGCTAATACGAGTTGAACAACAGTTACTCGAATTGAGCGAAGTCCGACTCAAAGTCAAGTCAACACCTTTTAAAACTCAAGCTAACAGTTAAAAGTCAAGCTAACCATCAACCTAAGAGCTGTTAAGAGTCAACACCAAATAAGAGTTTAGCTTATAGGGGCTAGCTTTTTTGTTAGCAGCTTTCGTGGAACTGTTGACTAGCTGAGATGTTTTTAGCCTGATTTTACAGGAAGAAATTCTTCTACATGTGTTGAAACTGAGATACTGACAATTATTTGCTGTTTCAAATAGCCATCATTTAAAAAAAAAAAAAAAACTTAAAATTGATATTTTCCAACAAAACCCTCAAAATCGAGTTTTGAAGGCATTTAAAGCATTGCGGCATTTCCTTGTCTCCAAAAGGCATTTCAGCCACCAGAGTCAATCAAAACAGGGTTATTGAGGAGAGCATGTGGGTGGGAGGGCTGAGCCAGACATCCACAATAAGAGACAGAGAGAAGAAGAGACAGCCAAATGGATGGAGTAGAACAACAAGACAGAAGCAGCAACAGGGACTGATGGAATAACAGCTGACACTCACAGCTTGTGGAGAAGTGGAGAGCAGGCAGATCCACAAACCGGGAGTTGAGGCGAATAAAAATAAAGGAGATGACAAAGAAGGATATGCAGTCCTTATCCAGACAGCAAACAGTCATCTGCTGTGGCTTATTACAGTCACGTAATAAGAAAAAAACGGATGAATTGACTCAAACCATGACAGGTGAGGCGGGAAATCTGAGAAAGGCAAGGACAAAGAAAAGATCAGGAAACATAGCTCGGTGTGTGTTTTTATGAAAAATAAGCAAAAGTTAAACTTTTTTCAAGCTTACAAGTCATTACAAGTGTCGAATCCTGGAATCATTAAGACAAGATAAACACAGACTCCTCTGTGAAGTGAAGGGAAAAATAAATTTTTGGCAGCAGCAAAAACCCTCCTGTGATCACATAAAACTAGAGCTCAACTTTGCCAAATCTAATTCACACCGAAAGAATAAAAAGGAACGGGAAGCTGAGTGACAGCTCTCCTCAAACCCCCCCCACACACACATTCGTTTCTCAATGAAGCAGCTGTGAATAGATCTTCTCAGTTGTCAGGAAAACAGAGAGACGTGTATTCAGCATCACACAGGTATGATACACAGACACAACGGGGGGTTGCTTTTTATAATCAAACAGAAAGCACACACCTGCTGCAGACTCTCAGTGTTATATTAAAAGAAAAACTTTTCTATTGCAGGAAAAGCGTAATTATGACACTAAGAAACACATAC